ATCATTGTACCTGAATCAACTCAATTCAACTTAACGCTGCTACAACTCGCGTTATATCGTTGGCAGTAGTTGTCTCTTTTTCGACATCACCCTCTCAAACGAACCCCATCAATATTCGCTGCAGTATATTCCTTTTATTGTTTTGTTTGTTTAAAAATACTTAAAGATACATTAAAAAGGTTGATGAAATCATGCTAAAAAATCTATGCTATAAATAGGAAAAGTTGATTTTTTTGGAAATTTCTATTTTCTAGTGCATTTGATAATTATTAATCAAGACTGTCTTTTATTTTCAATTAATCAATGATTATCCCATATTAGTCGTCAAATTTTTTTTTCAATTTTTTTTTTAATTTTTATGCTATGAAGTATACCACTCTCTCACTGAGACATTGTCTAACTTTACTAAAATAATGCAAACCATCATCTTACTAAGATCCATAATAGATAATCTGAAATCTAATTTAATCAACTGGGTACCATATCGATTAGTCTGAAATTTAACTTTCTTATGAATGAATACCATATCGATTATTCCATAAGCAGAAGAAGAAAATGAATGTCGCCGAAAATTTTTGTGACATAATTTGGATCAAATAATCGAATATGCAAGAAAGTGAAAAAAAAAGAAAATTCAAATAGTACTTGAGAAGTGGGAACAAGTTTGTAATCAAGGCAATATTTTTATTTTGTTAATTTTAAAGCAAGAAAAATAAAAATATTACAAACACACAATTTGTTAGTTGATAATAACGTTTCCTCCAATTATTTCAATTAAATTTCATATCTCTGTTTTAATGGGAAGAAGCAAATTTCAAGCAGTAATTGTTACTACTGTAAAGTGTCTATCGTATTATTGTTACTGTAAAATGTGTACCGCATGGCAGTGCCACAAATTCTTCTATTAATTGACTTAACAAAAATTAACATCATTCTCTTGAGACATTTGAATTAAATTGGCAAATTAATAAGCATTAAATTACACTGCTAATTTTTCCGAAAAAAAAATGCGTATTGAATTTATTATCAATTCCGTAATTTATGGATTCATAATTTATAGATTTATGGACATAATTTATGGATTCATAGAACGTTAAGTAATAATTTGAAATTAATTTCAACCATTAAAAAGTATTATTTATTAATAGTTAAAATTGACATTTTCGAAACTAACATAAATTTTCAAATTTTCCTCAGCCTGATTATCAAACTTACACTACTATTTTACTTTTCCAGTTTTCAATATGTGAATTAAGATTTTTTTTTTTTTAAAAAAGAAAAATCTTATGAATATCAAATATTCTCCAAAAATCTAAAATTATAAGTCTTTGTTCCGTACATTTTTAATAATATTCCATTCCTTGCATGTGTCAACTTATAAAAAAGATCTGATTCATTTTCACATTTATCATATATTTATCCTGATTCATTTTTATATTTATCGTATTCATTCTTTGCTATGATTTCATTACCATTCAAATATTTGTCGAAAAAAATGAAATTTCATTGCTTCTATTTTAAAAATGAAAGAAAAGAATAAGTAGAATTTAAAAATTAAATTGGATACAACTTGAAAACTATAATAAATTAAGTACAATCAAATATGACAATAGACAAAAAGTATCACAAATTTATTCATGATAATTAAAGTTGGTCTGTTTGGTAACAATTGATAATTAAAATATGGTTCATTTGAAGGATTCGATTTATCTAAAGCATTTGATAAGTCATGAAAACGATGCGAATAACTTTAAGACATTTCAATTGAAATTGTTGACCTTTTAATTTAGCCAATAATTTTGATAAATTTATTCAATAAAATTTGAATATTATTTATGCAAATTAAAATGTCATTTGTGAAAATCATTGTCACTATCAGTTGATTTTTTCCCGGAAAAAAAGAATTTATTGACTTAACTAAAAAACACAGAAAAAAGAGAAAGCTTGACATAAATAGGGTTTAATAGTATTTTAAACCATAAATAGGATTTAAAATACTATTATACATTTGCTTTGCTATAAGAAAAAAAAATGTTGAAATAGAAGGTAATCAATAAACTTAATTTATAAATAAATTAAAAAACTTGTTCTTCATTACTAATTTGTGCATATTTATCAAACAAATTCTTCCATTCTCAAAAATAATAGACTATATGCTCATTGTAATTATCGTCATTTAGATTTAACTAATTTTACTAATTTAAATAATACTAAAGTATTTATTGCTATAATGTATATACTACAAATTATTGCCATTCATTAAATTAATCAAAGGTAAATAATTTTACGAAGGTAAACGATTTTAGTAAATGATTTACTTCGATCTCTCGTCAATCCTGCGAAATTTCATTGATAAGCAAATCAAAAACAAACGATGCAGCTCTTCAACTTGATTTATGAAATTTCAAATCTTATTTGTTATTATTTCAAAATACAATTGACAAAACCTCCCCTTCTTTTTTCTCTCTCTCTCTCTCTCCCTTCTTTTACCTTAAAAATGAATGTATAATTTTAATATATCATTTTGTAAATACCCAAATAAAATTTGAAATAAACCATTCAGGGAAAGATAAAGGAGCAGCACTTGCATTATCCATGTTTATCTCTAATTTATCTTAATTATAACTTAACTATTGGGACAAAAAAGAAGAGGAAATTTGATGCTTGTTAGTATGTGAATCAATAATCGTAATTTATTACGAATTAATAATTTGTTTTTCGAAATTTGCAGTTCTGTAATGTTCGGATAAAGAAGTTCGAAAACCACAACTTTATATTCGTTTTAGAAAGTAAGAATTAATTTTACCTCAATCTATAAATATGTCATTCATTTCATTTGGTAACTCAAAATGGCACACAAACAAAAGCTTTATTTCATTTAAAAAATAAACGAAAAAATTTAGGGATATCGTATATGCACAAGAAAATAATTTCTCTAACAATTTTCAAAGATACATATTATTTTGTAGCATTGATAAATAACTGACAAAGTATCATTCTTTGCTAATACATTAACTGATAAGACGCTAATAAACAAATAAATATATAAATACATAAATATATAAATACATATTACCGGTTAAATGCCCTTATGGTAATCACTGTTTCGAAATAATCACTTCAGCATAAGCAACTGATAACACATCATGTGACAATAAAATTAAAGTTTCACAGCGTAAGCAAGTAATGTCATTTCATATGAAGGTGACTGATACTTTCTCAGCAAACTATACTACATTAATAGCATTTATATATATATATTTTTTTTTATAATGATAAAAAGCTTTTGCAGTAAAGCTGAACGAGTAATAAAACATCGCATAAAAAGTAGTAAAATTTCAGCTAAGAATTAAACAAAAAAAAAAATGAAATACCAATAAAAAGAAATCGTTGAATTAATAAGTACAACATTGAGAATGTCATATTTTAGAATTGATAAGAAATACTGATAAGTAAAAGAAATTTAATAAAAGCAGTACTTTTGCAAAGCACATTGAAATGGGAGAGTTTAATTTTCAGAAATGTAACATT